TCAAGGAATAAATGTTTTAAAAAAAAATGACTCGTTAAAAAATTGTCTCGTCGTAAATTACATACTTGTAAAAACCACATTTAAATATTAAAATGCAGAAGATTCGTATTGTAGAAAAATGATTGCATTATGCAATTGACATTACGCAAATGAACATAATTTCCATCGATATGAACAACGTTATGTCGGTTTCAGTTTTTAACCTTTAAAAAAATAAAAACAAAATCGAATTAAAATAATTTAAACTTTCCGCTAAAAACACCTCTTGCAGTATTTATATTATTTCTCAGATTGAAAAATCAGATCAGTAGCGAATTAATGATTGGTCAGGCTAAGTAAAAATTAGGTGAATACTTGCATGCTAAACCTAGTGTGATATATATTTAGAGATTTGGCATATTTGATTTTTTTTTTTCAGGTTTAATAATTTGATTATGACTAAATCCTTCAAGGTAGCTGGTACCATAATTACTAAATTTAAACTTAATTGGACAGACTTATCAAAATAGAGATAAAATAAAACAGACTCTTATAGAAATTGTAACCATCAATATTTATAAGTTAGGTTAGGTTCCGTATCTATGTAGCAAAGCTTGATGTTGTGTGATCGCATAATCCGATCTTGATTCTGGTTTTCCGGAATCTGGAGACCAGACTAATATGCTACCTTAGCTTTCACCCACTCGGACACCTTTGACGTCTCCTTAGTTGAGGAGAAACGTTGGCCACAGGTTTATAACAGAGACGCCCATTTTATCTAATCGATGTGGACGTCAAGACAAGTCCCATTCCTGCTAACTTGGGCGAAGGCCCGTTGAGTCGTTAAAATTCCTAGAGAAAGACACTGTAAATGAGGTCAACACTGGTACATAAACCCCACGTGGCCGCGTAACCGGCCGCATAGCAACGACAGACCTGACCGAATAGAAGGATACTGCAAATCCCATGGCGATAGGGCTAGAACGCAAGATAGAATTTGCCGTAAAAATTGAATACGGTAAATTTAAAAAAAAAAACAACAAAAATTACTGCTACAGAGGGATCGTTAACGTCTAACGACTGATGATATGAAGGAAACCATTCACACCTCCTTCAAGAGTAAATATTGTGTTTTCTTATTGATTTTTTCACAATAAACGATAGCTGCTGGGAAGTGTAATAACTAAAGTTGATGCCATTTTCAGTCGTTCTTACCACATGGGAAATAAAAAGAAGGTAATATATACTTTTTTTTTTTTTTTTTACTAAGTAAATCTATAAACCAATATTTCTTGTGTTTTAATAATTTTCCAGAAAAGGGAAAAATATATAAATATCCAAAGTAAAAGACCATAGTATTAAATTATAGATATTATTTTCTAGCCTACCAAACATTTCAATTAAAGTCAGTTAGGTTTTTATCATGAATAGAGTGACATACATCGTGATGTGTACCGTTTAAATAATTTATTTTTTTTACATACGTACAAATTGTTAGTTATGTTCTTTTTAATATTTAACCTTGTCCCGTAAATAAATTAATATTGTTTTCACTTTGTGACAATATTTAAACAATCTTTCAATAAATGATTATTATATTTTTAAAAATACAATTTTAAATTCACAAAAAAAAAAAAAACAACTAGACGGCTATTTCACTAACTTACACACAGTTAACATAATGTACTAATATGATCAACGATACTAAATGAAGCAAAGACGGCAACGATAAGAACAATAATGAATGCCAACGGTCAGTATACATATCGAAATATAACCCAGTATTTTGCGATTACCTCAAGTCTCAACCCACCCGGAAGCCGGAATGGATAAAATCGATAAAATAAAATGTTAAGACAGGTACGAACAGCTCGCCTAAAACAGTCAAATACCCTAATAAAGTCACGTCGACTTGCAAGCAAGTGAAATCCGTTGCCGATAACGTATCGAATTGTAAAACCGTCGAAAAATCCGAACGAGAAATCCGAGAAACCGAAAGTTGGCTGTACGTAAGGATACCGCTTGGAACGGCCGCCTGTGGAAGGGCTTGAGGGTATTTCACGGCTCGTGGCACAGAAATTAAGATACTAAACCGTCTGAAAACCGAAGTGCTGGCTGGGGTTTAGCGGATTGGAATCTCGGCAATAAAAAAAGGAAGAAATTCCGGAATGCGATGTCACTTCGTCAACGAGTTTTAAAAACGAACAAAAGCCCCCAACCGATAACGTTTCGAAATGTAAGAGTTTTTAAAATCCCACAGCTGGTAACGTTTCGATTTGTAACAACAGAACACCTGAAAACATCTAGTAGCGGATTTTTAACATTTTACTGGAAGAGGTCATGAAAAATCATATGTATTTAAAAGGTATATCTATTAATAGATTCCTCTTTTTTGGACGAAATTTTATCGAAATTATATTAGTGTCTGGGGGGTGTGAGGGGGGGGGGCGGTGGTAGATGTAGATCGAAAAATAACCCAGATCGTTTTGTGATCGTCTCAAACCTCAACCTAGCCCGGAATAGATAAAATCGATAAAACAAAACGTTAAGACAGCTCGCTTAAAACCGTTAATTACCCTAACGAAAGTAAGACGGATACCACAATAATTTACGATCGTTGTCATTATGTCATTATGTATTTGCATGGTTCTAGACGTGATAATATTATAGCGTAATATTTATATTATCACCTATACAAAATGTAATCCGAACAGGTCGAGTTAGCCGTATTATTCGAGTAAAAACGTCATATTATATTGTAAACACAATTTAAGTTGATGATCACATCACTCAGGTATGACAGTGTCTATCGCGATAGTGTGACGGTGTGATAGCATCGGTCACACATTCACGCGGTGTTAGTGTTGTACAATTTTCACGGTAGGTAACGACTAACATAATAGCATTCATCACGTTTAACCATTGTCGCGTGGACTGTGGTTTTAGGACCAATCAAACGTCGAAGCTGAAAGCTACGTAAAACAGACTCGTTCCGACTCGTTAACGCCGTGCGTTCTCGACAATTGATAAGGCCCCAAGTGGAGGCCATGTTATAATATCGTGTACGTAATTTTCCTATTGCGTGCGCCCGTTTACGTTTCCGAAATTATTACGCAATAATTATCATTTACATTAGGCGTTTAAATCGTATTCAATCGGTTAACCGCGTAAATCACGGGAAATATACGTCCGTCATAGTCAGCCCGCTCTGCGGATACGGGCCGTTTACGGAAAACGGAAATATACCGACGGCTTTACTTTCCGCGGGAATAACGCGGCCGATTAGACGTACGAACACACGCGAGAAAACATTTACTTTTATTATTTTTCTTGAAAAACCACTCGATCATTCGGAGTGGCCCGTATGCCCCCCGTATAGGCGGTCTCGCGGTACCTTCGAGTACAGTGCGCGTACACGCAGCCGTACACTTATTATTATTATTATTATTATCGTACGAGTTTACCTAATGGAAATAGATTTTTATTTGTATTTTTTTTTTTTCGTTGTTGTTGTTAAATAAACGCGGGTACGGTTTGTTAAATATTCGAATGACACTTTTGCTGGCGGGGGAGTACCTGCGTCGGTCCTAGGACGTTTATTTTGTTTGATATGCGCGCGCGCGCGCACGCACGAGAATCCGACGTGGCGACCGCGAAAACGACGAAAAACGTGCGCGCTTATCCTGTAATCCTTTCGAAAATATTCGCGCGTCACGGGAAAACGTGCTCTCGGCGGACAGCCCGGAATAACGACGGTGATAATAATAATACTTGTTGTTATTGTAATCGTACGTATTATTATTATTATTTTACACATATATTTATGCGTAGTCTCTGGAACCGACAGAAAATGCGTCGGCGCGACTGTACAAAAACCGTAGAGAGACAGACAGAGAGAAAAATATACAAATAAACAAACAAAAATGCATTATTATCGGAAACGTACAGTGCGGCGATAGTGTGTGTGTGTGTGTGTGCGCGCTTGTGTGCAGTTCGTCCCGCGACCTTCTACGAATGATTTCCTAATGGACCGGCCGGGCCCCGAGACCCGTTCCCTTTGATACGGTCCGGTTTTAATTGTCACCGCCGTCGCCACTACCACTATAAACTGTCCGGCGTGAAAAGGACAGCGGGTAGGTTATACGTGTAGTAGGTTCGGGGGGAAAGAAAAAAAAAAAACGCTAGACGGTGTACAGGATGTCACAACGAATCGCCATTTCCGTTGCGGTACCTCGGGGAAAAGTAGAATTATTTTTAGAATTGTAAATTTCACGTTGAAGCAGCTCTGAATTGTGTCGCGTTACCGTGATTTTTTCGTCCCCGTTGTTTTTCGCGGCGAAACAACGAATGTTTACCCGCCGTTCGTTTTTAAACGCCTATCGACAATATTATCAACAGAGTCCGTTGCACTGTCGAAAATAATGGCGACGGCGAAATAACGGTAACGCGACGTTTAAGAGCCTTACGCGTTTCTCGAATATTGTCGAAAACAAAAAATAAAACCATTAACATTTTCCGAGGTATCGCAAAGGATACATCGTCGTAGGACACCCTATATGTAGACTTACGCAAACGTACACAGGTAAACACGATCTCTTTCTCTCTGTCTCACGTTCTCTCTCCCTCACTCGCTCTCTCTCTCTATCTCTCTATCATCCCCTATACATATTATTATTGTTGTACAAATATACGTCCGTACAACAGGTACCTGCTCGGGGACGCGGTGCCAGTGTCTCTTGTGTCCCGCGCAGTCGTGTCCGGTACCTCGAGAGTGTCGCGCACGCATCGAGAAAGAACAAAATAGTGTAGTTATACGACCGTATGTAATGTAGTTATACGACCGAACGACAATAATATTGCAATTTCGTCGGTTATTTTTCTCCCGGTTTTACGGTTATTTTTTTTTTCTTTCGATTTCTGCATTCTATATCTCTATTGTAGATTTATATTTTATTAAATTTTTTTCTCGCCGTCCCCGCGCTAGGTATAACAACAATACAGTACACCGGCTGCCGTCGACCATGTGCCGCCCGCGCGTACAGGTGGTCGTGGCGCTGCTCGCCGCCGCCGCCGCCGTGGTGCCGTTTCGTTGCCGGGCCGTGCGGAACGACGCCGTTTTCGGCGACTCGCTGGTCGACATTTTCGACATAAAAGCCCTCGGAAACGACACCGCGTCCGGGGACCGGGCCGCCGACGTACCCGGTTACATGTACGAGCTGTACCGGGACGCGGCCGAGAATCGAGAATACGACGTGATCAGGAGCATACCGCCAAAGACAGGTAATACTGTATATTATTATTATATTTCAATAATAATATGCGCGTTCACATCGGACCGATCCATACGGGTGATGATATTATACGTCTTACGAATTTCACGTTACGGTCGAATGTTCCGCAAAATGCTTGTTTCTTCAATAGCACGAAACTTGTGCGAAAACTTTTCGGAATCGTATATTCTCCGAAATTTCACATTATTCTTGGTTTTGCATTTGTTACGGCTGTCCAGTTTTGATTTTCGAATAGCAAACTATTCTTAAAATTCATACATAAACGGAGTATTGGTTTGAACATATTTCGGTATTTGAGTTTTTGATTTGGGCAAAAGGAGAGTTGAGGATCATCGTGATTTGTGTGGCAATCAAACGTTTCAACGAGAAAATTTATTAAAACGCCGCATAATCACGGATTTTTTTTTACATATAGATTGCTATTTGAAAATCAAAAGTAGGTAATCGATTCACCACCGAAAATAAAAACAATGTAATATTTTTAAAATGTATGACTACCGTTAAACATTTTTTAGAGAAGTCATTTATTGAAAAATAAGTAATAGAAAATTTGAAAGACCCTGTATACATTTCATTATTCTCTACTTAAATGTTTTCATTTTTGTGCAACGCATTTGAAATTCTTTGGGGGAGCGAAACTTCAATTCCAATACTATTTGTATTTTATATAATAAGCCAGTGTTAAAATAACATATTTTCTAGTTTTTTCTTCCCTCAAAAAGGTTTCGAATTTCCGCCTATGGTTTGAATACCAAAAATATAAAGGGTCACATAATTTATGACGGATGGTGTGCTTAGACAATGAATTTGTATAAATAATAATAATATACTCGTATACAATTTCCAATTTATTCTCCGACGTGCTTTACCGATTTCGTTAGTTTAAAATATTCAAATATATTATTACCTATAAGTGCGATTCATAGATAAAAAAAAAGTCCATTAAAAATATGCATAGTGAAATTATTCGTTTTATACTTATACATATTAAAAGATATTTTTTAGAATCTGAGTGAAGCGAGAGACCTATTAGTTTTACTATAGTGTTTACTATTTATTATTTTTTTTTTTTTGACAAAAAACTTTTCTCCTTGAAATCTTGCACCAATAAAAACATGAAACGAAACTTTTTTTTGTTACATTTTGGCTCTAATTGATACTTTGGAAATGTCATTTTAGATTCCGAGCGTAGCGAGGGAGCTTTTTGGTTTTATTAAGATGTTTATTTTTTCTCCTTCTAGACTGTGGTCATGTTATTTAATAGTAAAATTGCTCCGATTTTTCCGTGTAGCACCTTCTTTAAAATCTCAAGTTGTTTAGAGTGTACATTAAAGAGGTCATTTATTTTCGACGCCATTTTTTAAATAAAAGCACCTAAGTGGGAAAACACGTAGGAAAACTTAAAATTTCACGATTTCATTATTTTATAAAAACACGGACGACGTTTTATACCAGACAAAATGATTTAATCGAAAAATCACAAGATACATTTTTTATTCTCCAAAACTTTTGAGCCACTTTTAAGCTTTTTAAGGAATTTTAATTTTCAGGAGTTTTTTTGCTTTAATTCGATTATAAATACACGTAGAGACTTGAAACTTGATAATATTACTTATATTAGACTTACCTAGACGTGATACAATTTCCAAAATTGTCGGGTGATTTTTTTTTTTTTTTAATAAATGTTTTGAAATCAAATTTAAATGAAAATGGCAAAAAAATTACAGCATTTCAAAATATGTATTATAGAACTGCGCTCGGAATCGTCCTTCGTCAAGCAATAGTTTATCGTTGTTTGTAGATATATGTGAAATAACCCTATGTATCCTACCTTCCCAACTTCTCACCTACAACAGTGGCTGCTCCCATCCCCAGTATCAACTCTTTTTTTAAATTTTCATAATATACGAGATAATGAGAAAACTGGTTAACTATTAAAAATAACGTTGTCGTTGGCAGCCGTTTTTATATTTTTTGTTATAATTATTTTAATGTTTTTAAAACAATATCGGTGTTATCGTGACAACGCACATGCTGAAAAAAACAATACTATTGTCCGAGTTTCGTTCAAAATCGTTTTTCGTTAGCAATGATTAATCGTTGTGTACAGGTATAAATTAAATTCCACTTTATATTTTGCCTACTCAACTTCCCACCTACAATAGTGGTCGCACCCGTCCTCAGTATTGGAATTTTTTTTTCTTCGGCTTTTATCAAGTTACGCGTTTTTTCCCGGGTTACTTTCAACCGGTCGGTTGTATTTAAATGGAAAAAATAATGATCCTCGCATAACATGATGTTGCAAGTTATTAGTTTTTAATGTACAGTATTATAAAAGCTTCATTTCAGAGGTGACCAGCACCAACAGTGACAGGGGGTACGAAAATATTTTACATTGTACATATACGCACATCCTATTTAAACGCATACACTGACCAAAGAAGAATAATATTTAAAAATTCAAACCAGGCATACGTATTTTCAAAATTTCGAGTTGTTAATACAAAATTATTAACCGAAATATTATGTAATCGGTATAAAATAATTAACGGGTATTAAAAAATTTCGTATTGTTTTCCCCCGGAAAAAATTATCATATTTTTTACTACATTTTTTTTTCAAATTATTATTTATTTGTGAAAGCACTGGATTATTTTTGTAAATTGTATAGCAAACATAATACTATTATTCTTTCGAATATTTAAACTTTTCGTTGATCGAGATAAATTGTGTTCGAACGGTTTAATGTAAACCATTAAAATATTTAAAAGTTGAAACCTATTGTTAGGTATCTAGTACCTAAAAATTTAATACCAATATTATATAATATTATATCCTAAAAAGCATAAAAAAAAAACGAATAATTTTTCACCGTGGTTTTTTAAGGTATAAACGTATAATAATAATAGTATCAATAATATTATATTTTTATGTCCATATTATATAATCAATTGCACGCGAGCGCAATATAATAGAAAACCATATTTACACGACTTAAACAATACGATTATAGAGCTGTTTACTAACAAAATATTCAGCTAGTATGTCATCATTCAGTGGACTAGAATTTGTTCATTTATTTAATATTTATTTCAAACAGTATGGAACTACAATGTCCTTACGTCCGTTTAAAATTGCTAATAGTTTCCGGCCTAAATATTGACATTTTTGAGACGTGACATTATTGTCACCTGATTAGTACCAGAATTCTAACCAGAATAAAGTGGTATTTCAAAAGTCAAAGATTTTCATGGGAAAAATCATAGAGCATCATGAGGAATTACGAAACATTTAAAGTCGATTCCCCAACATTAGCATTGTTTGATTTGTGTCGCTATTCTTTCAGGGGCGTGAGTCATTACCAGTTACACTTATTATTTTCGAACAAGTATAGTGAACACTGAATATTAAAATCGTATTTTGTAGTTATATTCAAATTGAGTTGGTAACACATTTAATTTTTTTGCATGGAATTACTAAAGTTAATATATATTTGATATAACTATCGTAACATGTATCAATCAATAATATAACTCTGAATTTAATTTCATTAAACGATTATTGTTTTGTATAATTTGTTGCAACATTCGATTTTAATTTGTTTTATAAAATCGATACAATACTTCCTGTCGCAACATAAAATATCGTATTTCGATTCAAGTCGTATATTCAATATCGTATATTTTTTCAGCATCGCCCATGAATCGCCCTACACATCTTTACTCATCCAAAGAGATTGAATAGAAAGAGTGGAGTACGGTTCTTTCCGTTACGGCAGAAAATAGATTACATTGAACAAAATGTATTGTTTATAGGTACGTCGATAATACACAGTGCCGCACCAAGATAATACGATCATTGCGATTTATTAAAAAGTATCGATTTTTATCGTAATTTTTTTTTTTCAATTTGAGAAACAACAGCTCTAAAATTTTACATTACCATTATTATGATTTTTTTCTTCTTTTTTTCCCGAGGATGAACTCACTACCTACTTTTGATTTTCAAATGGCAACCTGTAGGAATTTTTAATATTGTATTAAATTTACATAAATAGATGGAATGCTAAGTTAAAATATGTTTTGGTGTTGAAAATTTCAAAAAAAATTTTCAGAAAAAATATCATATTTATTTATACTATAGGTAATTCGTATGATATTGGTGATATTATTGGTATTTTCTATATGTGTGTAAATACATAAGTAACTCGATATATTTTAGTTTTTTATGTTTATACAGTTAGCGGCGTACCCAAATTATGGTTAGAGGGGAGTTAAATTTAACATGGTTGCTATACACCATTATAATAAGGATGCTCAATTCGCCACTATTTTAAATTGAAGTTATGGTTTTCCCTTCAACACATTGTACAAGTGCATATTAACGTAAACTGAGAAACGTATACTAATAAAAAGGACTTAATCAAAGTATAGTTTTTGATGATGTATTAAAATTATATTTTTTTGTAGAAAAAGTTGTTTAACTCTTCATATATCACACCCTTAAACTCATCGCTGTTTACAGCCATTGCAATTCCGGCAATTAATTTATCCTAATATATTAATTAGACTATTTAAAAAAGTACCAAATGTAATTATTTAACAGTGGCCTATTTAGGATTTTGTCAAGGATGAAATTAATGAAATTGTAAATTATATCACATCACTCATATTTTATAACGTGGTACCCAGGCTAAAAAAAAAAAATCATCGATATCAAATACCTAACTACAAACATAAGTAAGCAATTATTTACTTTATTGGCTATCTAGATAACTACTTATCTAACCTCCTTCATATAATAGTATTTCGTATAGGTTACGCTTAAAAACAAGATAATGTATAGGTATACAAACACAATAAATTGCTGATTTTTTCCGACTAAAAAATTAACGAATTTGAATTTAAAAATAAATTCTGACAAATTACTAAAAAAAAAAAAAAAAGATCCTATGTGGAGATATATATCCCTAATTTCCTCCCGTGTAAATACATCACTGTAATTTAATACAATTTAATTTAAACATTATTTACGCATTTATATGCAGTTCAGACACTTAATATCGGATATCACATAAGCCGATTCAGGACTTATACCCGGCGAATACTAAATGCAGTATAGAATAGTTAGTATGGAATTCTTTGCGCTACCTATAAAACCTTTTCATATGGTGGCGCCGAAATAAATCGACCGGTGCCAACTCACCGGGGTGACCCAAAAATATAATACCCTTAAAGTATTTATGTGCAGACTGTGTATACGAATTGATAGCAGCGAATCGATAGTCTTTCATTTTACGATCTTTACTATGGATATGATATTTTATTCAAGCGGCCTGTTTTATTTTCGATGTAGTGATTTCAAATATTAATTACGGTTTGAAAACAAATAAAGATACGATACAAAATGCACGGTCTTGTAAAATGTATAATATTTAATAGCACTAAACTATTTAAATATATCTATTAAAGCAATTTATTCGTGTCGATACGGAGGCGACAGGGATTTTTACTCAAACTATATTAAGACACATATAATCCGCTGAATCCTTCGATTCTTGTAGGCATATAATGTGAACGCGCTTACGCGTTATGTGTTTCGACTTTTGAGTACCACTCGAGTTTCTCTGTGATTCTTTTGCTAAATTACTTTTCTCGGGTTTATTGGATCTAATTGTCGAGTCGGCTTTGACCTGACCCGACCAACCTATAAGCGTAGCGAAAATAAAAGTTCATTAAGCTCTCGGCCGGTTGATCGCAGAAACCCAATTATTGTCAAAGTTTGAAGTAAAGAGTTGACTCGAATAACAACCGGAAAACTTTCCTCAGTCGGATTGATTCTTTTGAAAACTTCTTTTAACTTAATTATACAATGCAAGCACGTACGACTATACTTTCTCGAACGATAATTATCAATTGAAACTGTACTGCCTATAAGAAAATAATTGAAGTTTTTAATAATAATATTGCGGGCTTATAATTGACACTACTAGAATGATGTACACAATTCTATTTACAACACGATGCGGATTAATATTGGCCAGTAAAATGTGTAAACCAGCTCATCTTGAAGTCCAATGATTTCAAAACGAATATTAGCGAGGATAGTTGGATATTTCACCGCAATATCGTCTTGCTGACCGTAATTTTTTATCTAACTCATATTGTATTTTTTAAATCCTCTTTTGTTTAAAATTATATTGTATGTATCAAATCGACACACTCATTACTACCTATTATTTAGAGTGATCAACATACCGTATGATACACATTATCTCGAAATGTGACGACTTTCAGAATTTTGGTGTTGACATTTTTGATTTCCGTCAACTCGTTAATGCAATATTCCGCTTTTAAGTTTGACGTTTTATGGATAGGGAAGATTAAGTGAATGAAATTTGTGTGGCAGCGTGACGTTTGAATATTGTAGTTCCATGATTATAATTCCACTATCCACAAAACGTTAAACTTAAAAATGGAATATTTCATCAATGAGTTGACGAAAATTGAAAAATTCAACGGTGAAATTTATTTAAATTAACACTTTGTATATTTATGAAATTTTCAATACATAAGATTGCTATTTAAAAACCAAAAATGCAAGTAGCGGCATTGATTTTAGAATATAATGTATTCAAAAATCAATGTTTAATGGTTTATCCCTAGAAAAAAAAAATAATAAGGGTGACGTTTTAAAGTTGCTCGTTTCATAAATTTTCATGGAAATAAATTCCAAAATAAAAATGATACTTCCCGAGGTAATGAGTGTCGTACGTTTTGTTGAATCACTTTGTATAATATGTCATTGACATTCGAAAAAAGGAAGTTTATAACAGAGAAATCTCTGATACGCGGTAAAATACTCCGTGTACCTATACAGAGTGATTCACTAAGCGTGCTCTACCCCATTTTTTAGTTAAATTTTACATATATCTAAATTCTGATTTTTGGAATTTTTAAGTGTAGTTAAAGCCGATATTTTCGAATAATTAGATTTTTCTCAACATTTAAGTAGTTTACTATGGTGATGCCAACTTTAGCTTTTCAAATTATAACCTATGTTGAAAAAAATTCTATAAATGTACGGAGTATTACATTTTGGTGTTAGAATATTTGATTTCCGTCAATCTATTGACAAGATATTCCACTTTTAAGATTGGGTCAGGAAAGAATAGTGGAGCATCATTCATGTGGTGACACGGCGTGCGGCGTTTTAATAATGCACCACTTCTCTCCTCCGATCCAAACTTAAAAAGACAAACATACTTCGCACCAGAGGCGTTCTCGGGATTTTTTATTGGGAAGAAGGGGATTATGAAAATATACTAAAAAGTGAGCTGTGGGGGCTAAGCCTCTACACCCCCTTTTTATATAAAAACAACATACATTCAATTATAACATATTAAGTATATTTTTGATTAAAATATTGAATCAAAAGAGTAAATACGAACTCTATATCAATTATCGATTTTTACTGTCATAATTTGTACTATGTTTATTATGTATTTACTATCCACTTTTAAGTTTAGGTAATAGGGAGAAAAGTGGAGTACTAATAAAACGCCGCGCGCCGTGCTTCCACACAAATAATATTCCACTACTCTCCCATCTCATTAACGGGTAGACGGAAATCAAATATTTTAACACCAACATTTATTTAAAATAATACTCTGTATATTTATAGAATTTTTTTCAACATAGGTTATAATTTGAAAAGCTAAAGTTGGTATCACCACAGTATACTTCTTAAATGTTGTGAAAAATCTAATTATTCGAAAATATCAGCTTTAACAACACTAAAAAATTTCAAAAATCACAATTTGAATACATGCAGAATTTAACCAAAAAAATGGGGTGAGCAATGAACACGCTTAGAGAATCACTCTGTATAATGTATATATTTTACATTTTGCATATTTCGAAGAACGGTATTTCGGTTTTAAAATATTATTTTATCGAATTTAAAATTCACGAATAAACGTGAATTTCGATATACGAGTATGTACCTATTTATTCATGTCAGTTAATATTTTAGTAATATTTTTTCCCCGTTATTCATACAGAAATATGTAGACTGATATTGGAATTCTGCAAACGAAGCGAGGAACGAATTGGATTTATTGTGTGTAATTTTTTTTTTTTATATAAGAAAATCGGACAAATTTACGCCAATAAAAGTATTCGGTATTTTCGATTTTTTCATTTTATTTTTCTACTAGAAATTTTGCACCGAATTTCAAGAGTAGCACATTTTTATAGCTATTTATAGACATTCGACTTTTTGAGTGTTATATTCTGAGCGTAGCGAATAATATGTTGGTTTAACTATAATGTGTGTATATTATATTTTTTTTTTTTCATATACTTGTGTTTAATAAACACCTTGTTTACCAGAAATCTCACTTCTATCAACAACTTGATAGGATCTTTCTTGTAGAATTTTTATTTAGTTAGTGCATCGAGGATTTCATTTTTTGATAGTCTTTTTAATAAATGAGAAAACTGGAAATTTTTTGTATAGCGTTTGAGGATTTATGGGAAAAAATACTCCTCTACTCATAACCGTTTTTCGTTATCGATATTTTATCGTTGCGTTCAGTTACATATTATACTGTTGAATTATTCTGTATGTATATTCCGCCCGATTTCCTTCCTAAAACAGTAGTACGTCAACAATAAAAGCAGCTTTAAAAAACAAACAAAAAAAACTTATCATTAAGATGATTTGAATATATGTATATATATATTTGATATAAATATTATTATTGTTTTTGAATATAAATAATGGACTTAAAACAAAAATTGTTTTCGCGTACAGCGTAATATACTATTTTAATTTATACATAACACGTATTATTGCAATATTATCATCGTAATAGCGTTTAAACGGACGGACTTCGGGGCCGAATAAATCCGAATACGGTTCGATTAATACGTATTAATAATATACACATAAAGACGGAGTTTTAAAAACCGCAGGACCGAACGGATTTGTCGGCTGAAAAAAATACGTTGTTATAACAACGCGGATCTTTTAAGCGGACCGGCCTTATAATACTTATATAGTGTCCTTTGAAACGTCTTCGCAATATATTTCTGTTATTTTTGGCTTTTTGGGTCGCAGTTTGGAATGTCGGTTATATATTATTGGTGTTCCGCAGTAGACTTCATAGTACTCGTATAGATATATATATATATATATATATATATATATATATAAACGACGAGTCGCCCAGCAGAAAAAGACATAAATTCCGAAATTCAGGGTTTACAAAAGCGCGCGGACCGACTGGGTGGTGAAAGAAAAAAAAGGGTCTCGCGTCTCGTCGTTTCGAATTTGGCGCCTTGCCTGCTGGGGCGCTTCCGTTTAATTTGCGTGGCGACGCCGTCTACGCGGGATAACGTCGAGGCCGCGTCCGTCGTCGCGTCGTTATGGAAACCCGAAGAATGTGTCTGCACGGAAAGAGGAAAAGGAGACGCACGGCAAAGAGAAAAAAAAAAAACGTCCGAGGCGGAACGAAATTTATTTAAGTATTTTTATTGACGCGTGCGGGTATGACTACGGGTCCGTCAAGTGCCGCTCGAAACCGAAAGTGCATTATATTATAGGTACCCATCTATTAACCCGATATACGGCGTCCGAGTACAGTTCTGTGGGGTGATGACCGTACGTACCATTTTTTTTAAAACAGGATTTTCCTATTTTTCGATCAATCGCATGCGTTCTGTTTACCACGATTGTCCTGTTTTTTTTTTTCTGAGTTTAGCGAAGAATGTATTGGTTTTACAAAGTTTATTTTTTATTTTTTTTTATATCAACATTTTTTCTACCAGAAAGCTTACTCCGATTATCAGGTGTAGCACTTTTTCCGAAAGGAAATGTTCTCTGAGTGGTACTTTACAGAGGTCATTTTTTGAAATTCTCATTAATTTTCGAGATAATGAGGAAAATCTGATTCTTTGTATTAAAAAAGATTGTAAGATTAAAAATAATGTTGTCATTGACAACCGTTTTTTATTTATTTTTTGTTATTATTAAGTTTTTATTATATTTATTCTTTTAATAATCTTTTTTAAACAATCATTTTTGTCATGGAAACGCACATTGTTGTTATCATTATACCATGATATGACATAAATTGTTAACAACACAGCAACACTATCAACTGAACTCCGATTAGAATCGTTTTTTACAATAGTCTATCGTTGCTTACAGATATGCATTAAATTTCCGTCGGTATCCTACCTTCCTTGTGAAGTGTATCCGTCCTTTTTTATTTATTTATTTTTTCTTGTTAAAAAGCGATTTATTTAGCAACTAATTGATAAAAACACCGTCAATAATAAATTTGCTTTAAATATTTTTGCCTACATAAAATCTCACTGGTTAAAAACATATATATGTATGTTACAACACCCAATTTCGTGTAATGATGTGTATCATTTTATATTTTCAACGCAGTATGGCATATAATAACATAAATTTTGTTGTTAATATAAGTATTATATTAAATTGTTTCTTATTTTGACAATCGATACTCACCATATTTTTGTTTTTTTACTAGTTGTGAAAAATTTATCCTGATGTTTTTTTTTTTTTTAATACGGTCACCCTATATTTGAGAGCTGAGTACACTCAATTCTTTTTACGATTTCGCGGTTTGCGCCGGGCGTAAATGCTTATACATACGGGCTTATAGAGGTGTTCTCGGGAAATTTGGTGGATATCAAAATGTATTAAAAACTTGGCCGTGGGAGCTAAGACCCCGCGTCTCCTTTCTTATATAAAAACAACATACATTAAATTATAACATATTGTATTATATTATATTATGTTCCACTATCAACATTATTTCTATCGCTAGAACAATTTTCATCAGTCTGCTCAGGCAATTTACTTTTGTCTACATCAACTACACCATCAACTTTTGTACTTTTTATATCACTACTAGCAGGAGGCATAAACTTATTTTTAGAAAACAAATTTAATAATGTACTTGAATTAGTTGAATTTATTCGTTTCATTTCGATCAAATATACATCGTCAATACACTATAGTCGCATATTGCAAAATATCAAAGTAACTCATTAACAGTTATCACTTATTAAATATTTCACTAAAAACGATGTATAACAACAATAAAAACTCGGGAAAACAATGTTAACATTTTATCATTGTTCAGTGGTCGTATCATATGATTAAATATTAATATATTGTTTATATCAATTATTACACGATCTCAGCTGATTATAAAACCAGAAGTCTGTAAATTGTAAATTGGAGTAAATTTGCTATAAGAAAAGTTGTCTACAGAAAAAAAAAATCGTAATATTTTACGAATGTGTTTCGTACATTTTCCCGTTTTTTCTCCGTTTTCCACGACATTTTTCCTAGACATTATAAAAATCACTTGAATAATCAGAAAATGACCTCCATAAATTACCATGGAGATAAAATTTCCTTTCAGAAAATAAGTTACACTTGAGCAATATTTCTGGTAAATAAATTTGCACGACAAATCGGTGGGGGATTTGGCGACTAAAATAGTCCGAGCGAACGAAAGCTGGGTCTCTATAGGTACACTTGAAATGCATTTGTTTTTCCCTGTTAAGGTAAATGAAAAAAATAAGTGCAAACAATTTTTTTCGAAACACGGGTTTGAATCGGCGACCCCTAGGATGACAAAAGGTATGTATAACCATTCGGCTACGACAAACATACTCTGAAAAAGACAGTACAAAGTTATTTAACATAATATATAATATCCGCATAAAATATCAGAACTTCAAAAAGCTATAATTTCGAAACTTAGTCATAATTAGAAACATAATTTTTTTTTTGACCACGAAGTAAGACTTTTAATGAACCTCCTGTTAAATTTTCCGTTAGTCTCACAATTTTACCACAAAGTAGCTACCGAATAAAAATTACGTACAAAACTCTCAAAGTTAAAACATCTATAAAAGCTCAAAAATAGCTTAATTTTTTTAAAAATTTGACCACATTTAGAAAAGTAAAATATAAATGATTTCCTGGCAAAATTTCAAGTCACCACGAATATTTTTAACTGACTTACAACAAATAACAAAATTTAAATAATAATAAAAGCATTATTTTCGTAAACTTTCAGTTTACTTACGTTTCATTTTTAGATATTATAAAAACTGCTTGGAAAATCCAAAACCGACCTCGCAAAAGTACTATGTGGCCAATATTTCCTTTCGGAATAGTCCCGCGTACATATCGGAGCAAGATTTCCGGTAGAACTTTTGTACACCGGATAAAAAAATGAAATAAAAAAAAAGTGAACATCTTAGTAAAACCGATGTATTCTTCGCTACACTCAGAACCTGAAAATCTGAAAACGTTAATCGATTGTATTTTAATTTATTCGAATAATCGCTATCAGTTAAATTTTAATATCGGTTGAGCAGGAAACTCCGCGTTATCTGGAAAAAAAAAAAAAAAAAAAAAAAAAGGAAAAACGGCCGTCGGTGGGAAATCAATCCCCCGTATACACCTACCCCCCCCCCGCGCGCGCGCCCACCGCCGGCGCCTCGAGTACGCTCTTGCGGGCCTGTCACACGCACGGGCACAGCATTGCCCAGCTAATAATAACAACATTACGGCGGCGCCGTGTTTTCGGAGATGGTTTTTTTTTTGTTGTCCGTCTCTCCTTTCCGCTCGGCAGAATAAACGGGGAAAAAAAAAACTCCCCCGTCCCCGCCGACGGTCGCGCGCACAACGCGTGTGCCCCGCGCGTCGTGTCCACGTGGTATTATCCGCGGCAGTAATACCTGCGGATGCCCGCGCGTTATTGTGATGCGCGCGGGATACCTGCGCGGCTATAACACAACACGTGTGCGGCACGCACGTAAATGTAACGCATTATGTCGGCAGAAGACCGCGACGGCCCAGCGGGACGGGCGTCGGAGGAAACGGCCGGTGTCTGGTGGCGCCAGGGACAATAGGCTTTTTGTCCGGGCGAAAATGCACGCGCGTAAATACGCGCAGGTGCTCGAGTGGGTCGCCGCGTTCCCGATATAATATAACACGGTCAATAATAATAATAATAATAATCATAATAATCATAATAATCATAATAATCATAATCATAATAATAATAATAGTAATAATAATATTAGAGGATCCGATCTTAATGGCTTGTCAATTGGTCAGCCGTCGCCGTCGGGAGACCGTCGCCGCCGCCGCCGCCTCCGTCGTTACATGCATTATGTATTATACAGGGTGATTATTATTATTCGTCGCGTTACGGCGGTCTTCTCGAAATCTCGGCGGCGTGCCGAAAGGTTTTCGCGAGAAACGGTACGCGTGCGGCGCGTGTCCCGCCACCGTCGGACGCGACGGATTTTTCTTGCGCTTTTAATATTACATTTTTCGATTTTTTTTTTTTTTTTTTTTTTCATTCAATAGGTTTGTTTTCGAGGAGGACACTGATTCGGAGAAAAATTAAATTTTTATTTTCGTCCCCTAAACACAAAAAAAAAATAATAATAATAACAATAACTGTATTTGTACGTTATTTAGACTTTATTTGTACTTTACTTATACTTTCGCCGATTTCCAACATGGCCATTTTGTAAAAAAATATTATTCAAACAATTATGATGTATCACGCATTCATATCCGATGAATATTTTCTCGGTTACGGCCGTTTTAATTAGTCGTGAAAACAATTAATTTTCAATAAAATAACACGTTATATGTGATAAAAAACTATAATCAGCAAGGTGATAAATTCTTTATCTTCTATTGAATATTAATTTTTTTTTCGCGCTTATTTTCTAGAAATTAAAATAACCATAATTAAGAAACTATTAATCGGAAATGAATGTATGATACATTACAATTTTTAGAATAATACTTTTTACAAAATGGCTATTTTGAATATTTTCTTAAGTGAATAAATAAAAAGTTATTTGATTTTTGTGTTTAGGGGATGAAAATTAAAATTTAATTTTTCTCCAAATCGATGGCCCTCTCGTTAGAAAAATCCGTCTAACACGGCGGGACTCACTGTATACGTGCTTACATAATATAATTACGATAAGCGAATAATTGAAATCTACATCCACGCGTCCTATTTCCTTAGAAAAAAAAAAAAAAAATTATATATTTATAATTTTCGAGTCGACTCAATACAATATAATACGGTTAAACGTTTTAGAATTTTGTTAAATTCCGAGCGGAACGGGAATATATAAGTTTTACAACGATGTTTATTTCGTTTTCTGCGAATAACTTTTTTACCGGCAATTTTGCTCCGGTTTACAATGACAGCATTTTTTCTGAAACGATATCTGACTAGCGAGATACCGAAGGAAAAATCCCGAAGAAAAACCATCCTGTATAATACCGGGTGCGCGGCTTGACATTATAGATGATTTGTACGGCGGTCGACGCGCATTCGTTAATCCTTTGTGTACGTTTCGGTCCGTACAGTTTTCGAATGGACGCGAGGTACCTATATAATAATAATATCCGCGTACCCACGTATGAATACGGACGATAATAACAATTTTGAGAAACTGAAGGATTTCTGTTATTTATTTCGCGTATATTGTCGTTAAAGCGTATACTATACCGTAGGTAGTAGACGCGTCTATAACGCGGCCTACCTATAATATAACATAAGCCTATCGCGACTAATCGCAGATTTAAGAGGTACCCCTCGGCGTGACTTCCGCGCTAAAGATGCGAGGTAATGATAAACGGATTATCGACGAGAACGCAGTCCGAAACGTGTCCCGCCATACGCTCGGGGTACGTGTATGGGTACGAGAAAGAAAATACCCTCTCACCCGGTCAACCGATCCTCCACGTACACACTCGTAATACGTTAAATTACCTATAATAGTGGCTGCACCCGTCCCCGTTATCCTAGGATGTCTTTTTAGAGTTTAATTTTCAAATATTACATAAGGTAAACAACGTATAATATTTCCTGAAAAATGTAAAATGTCTTTACGCCTAACAAAAGTCGTTGATCTTATATTGTAATATACACGTAAAAATGTCGTGGAAAACAGAAATCTAATACATTTTTTTCAACTGGATCTATATTTATAAAATATTATGATTACCGATATTAAATTGTTGTATGGGGCTCCGCCCGATAATAAAAATTAATAAAACGAGTGGAAATAAGAATGGTATACAAATTAATGATGAAAGAACAATGCATTTCATTCACAATTTAGTTCACAAGAAATAAATATAAAACCGTAATTTTTTTCCTCCTTTGAATTTATTAACTATATCCTTACCCACCATCTCTTCTACCTTCTTATTATTAATTTCAATTAAACACTTTCTACAGTTAATTGTTGCATTAGCACATACTTCCGCGAAAAGTGACTCCATCTTACTGAATGAAAATTGTGTTCACGTGTAAACACCTTCACGATTTGTATGACTCTTTTTAAAGCCACGCTCGTGAGCAACAATTAACACCTTCGTGAAATACACGCCGTCGTAGCACACGCCCAATGTAAACCAACCTTTAGTTTGAAAATTGTCCCCACAAGTCATGATCTCTTTATAGCTGTATGTAGAATGGAGATATTCGGACTACTACCACTTTGTGCTACCCGTGTAAGTGATTTCGATTTTAAGCACACATTCATTAACATAATATCATTATAGGTATACGAGTTATTTCTTTTGATTCTGATAGCTATAACGATTATTTTATTTACGACATTTTCAAAGTTTTGTTCTTATTTCGACACGTTTTGATTTTCAAAAAACAGCCCTATGGCCTATGGGGACGGATATTACGGCAATATTTAATGTGGATTTAAACTGTTGCATAGCTCACAGACGGATAGTGCTATGCATATCAATATTTTAAGAAAAATATTCACTTTTCGAAACTGTCATTAAAAGTGAGGGGTTACTATTTGAACATCGAACGTCGATACGCCGAATACGGTGTACGAACACGAGGGCGGAAATTCGAAAATAAAATCAACAAACGATAAGTGCCTCTCATCGTTTAACCTCTCTCTATATTCAAGGTATTCTATTCACAATGACAGAAAAAAAAAACACAATACAACACAAATCAATTTCACTCGGAATTTTCGTGTAGATAATTGCCGGATCGTAATGTGTAAAAAAAAACACCCTGTATACTCGTCCTGACTAACATTATTATTATTATTATTATTATTGCGTATTATACGGCGACTGTCATCGTTTTGTAGCACGGACATCGGCGGCGCCATCGCGGTACCGGACGCTGTTATTTATTTTTATATTTGTATCGTTTTTATAACAATACGTTAATGTTATACACACGCTTATCGTTCGTCTGGGATTGGGAAACGTCGCCATCGACCAGAAAAAATGTGTGTCTGCGACGGGTTGCTACCTCCCCCGTTGACAGCACTCCGGTAATGGCGCCAATCCTCTGTATAGGTATACGGTTCACCTACGTGTCTTATATATATATATATATTTTGTATTACAAATACATGTGAAAAATGTCACTGCGGGTAATTCAGGCAGTGGCGTCATTTCGTAGGTTGTCTGTCGAAAGGGGAGAGACGGAATGCTGACCGTTAGGTCAGGCACCTAATGGTTAAATTCCGAAATTGTCGTAAATACGATATCTTTAAACGATATAATATTATAGTGTATAATAAAAACTGTACAATAGCTCTGGTCCCAGGAAAGAAAAGTAAAGATGATACGTTTCCTGAGAGGAGATTTTGTTTAGTGGGTACGTTACAGGGGTAATTTGTCGATTTTTCAAGGGGTTTTCATAATTATTCGGAATCCCCCGAAAAAAAATTAAAGGTAAAACGGAAACTCGGCTTTACGGCTTAACACGACGTAACCGATTACATTGTTTTTATTTTTGCAACTTCAGTTTTCTACCAGAAATATTCCTCCAATAGAAAAACAACAAGAGATCTTCTTCATTCAATTTTCAATTTAATTGGTGACCAATAAAGTCGCTTTTTAAATTTTCTAATTAGTTTTCATAATAATTGAGCCAAGCCGAAAAATACGTAAAAAGAATGGGAAAATGTACGAAAATAATTCTTTTATTATTTTTAATTTTGTTTTTGTAATGCAATTCAGTTAAAAATATTTTTGGTAACTTGAGATTTTGACAGAAAACTAATATTTGTTTTTTCTAGGCGTGGTAAAATGTTTAAAACATTTGAGCCAAATTCGAGCTATTTAAAAACATTTCAATTTTGTGAGTTTTTACATAATTTGTATTGTTAGACTAAATACAAATGCTTGACAATTTAGCCGGAGATTAATAATTATAAATGACAAAAAAATAATTATAATGTTGCGTTTAAGTATTTTAGATTCTGAGTGGAGCGAAGAATCTTATAGTTTTACAAAGATGTTTATTTTCTTTTTTCTTCTGTGGACAATTTTTTTACCAGAAATCTTGCTACGATATACAAATGTAATACTTCTTCTAAAAATAAACCAGAATGGAGAGGTACTTTAAGAAGGCCATTTTCTTTAATTTTCTCAAGAGTTTTCAAAAATCAAAAATAAACTGAGGAAAAACGGGAAAATGTTAGAAATGTAGGTATTGGTCAAAAATATTACAACCTTCTTTTTTCTTGTGAACAACTTTTTTACCAGCAATTTTTCTCCGATTTACAATAATAGCACTTTTTCTAAAAGAAAATCTGACTGCGTGGGTACTTGGGTGAGTGGTCAAAATCTAAAATATCATAGAACATCTCCGTATAATATTTCACAGTTCCGATTTCCTTGTAAGTAATACTGTATTGATCTAAACTTAATAATTTTAGCTGTTCAAACATCGGGTTTGCTCGAATAATAGAAACGTGAAGTCTTTACTATGTTTTACTCGTTTTAGTTCTTAGTATATAGTACTAGTTCATAGTTAATAATTATTACGAGTCATGTACCAAATATGGATCAGAAAATTGATAACGCTTTTACTACAAAACGAGATAAACTGTGCATTTTGATTGAAAATTCGTTTAATCAAACTTATGAAATTTACAAAAAGTCTCAAGTCTGTCAAAATGAGAAGGAAAACGGATCGTTATAAGTCGCCCAAACATACTACAATATTTTAAAATCACTCGTTCAAACGCATTTTTTAAACTCGCCCGATATCGATGGCGGCGGCGACGCCACAAAAGAACAATGACGGTTTGCTAAGCCGCGATTTTGAAATCATATTCTACGTACGAGTCGAACATTTCATGTAACCGACCGTTACTAACGTACCGGTGAATGTCGAATATTATCGTAAAGAATTATTATTACGATACTCGACTTGTGTTTTCGTCGGGCACCTGTCATTGGAAAAGACTCGGCTCCACACATCGTGAGACATTCACGGAATATCCAGCGGTGTGGTCGATACGTTCACGAAGAAGTCGTCGGCTATCGGGAAACCGATTGGCAATAAAATACAAGTACCTACCGCCGCCGAATTGTTTCCATGAAATATTACGTTTTTATTGTCGGTAAAAATCGCCCGGATCAAAAAGGAGAATTCCGTTGATTTTTATGCCGCGCAATCATCCGCGAACATTCGAGCAATGAAAATTATTATTATGTCATAAAAGATATTATTAAATGGATGCCGCCGAAGTCGCCGATGGTGGTAAAAAAAAAAAAACCAAATATATCTTGCAAAATTATTTCGAGTCGTTTGCGTGGCTACTCGTTAATCAGGGCTGCATTTTGGCTCTAGTTGGTATTTTGAAAAAGTCATTTTTTGAAATTCTTATTAATATTCGATGCAATGAGGAAAAACTAGTTAAAATACACATTGTTAAAAAAACCAATACTATTGACCGAACTTCGTTCAGAATCGTTGTTCATTAGCAATAATGTATCGTTGATTACAGATATAAAACAAATAACTCTTTATACATCCTACCTTCCCGATTTCTTACTTACAACAGTGGCGCACCCGTCCTCAATATCAACATTTTTTTTTCATTTTTTCTCTTTCTTCATCGGCTTACCAGCCTATTATAGACCACTGCTGCCGTAACAGGTCCTTACATTTCTTTATATCGGTGAAATGTCACCTTAATCCCCGTGATTATCGATATATCCGCGGTGAACAAATTCCATATGGGTGAATTATCACTTTGTTAGGTCCCCAAGATCTAAATGACACGTAAAGAATTTAATTGAGATGGGAACTAATTGACTCATTGGGAACAATTTAAACACTGGGGAACTAATTGTCAAAATAATTTAAACAATAAAGATTCCCGACTAACCAGATCCACGTGGGTCAATTAGTTTCCTTGTAAACTAAATCCTTTTTCGTGTCATTTAGATCCTGGAGTTCTATAGTTGATTATGGATCAGTAGGTGGTCGTTCTCAAAGATCTATATGACCCAAGGGAATTTAGTTGATATAGAAACTAATTCATCCACGGGAACCCATTATTGCGCGTGCCTATAAACCTTTATAGTTTAGTGAAAACTCATCATAATCACCAATAAAACAACAGTGTACGCACATCGTAAAAATATATATAACATGATAACAGTTGTAGGTAGAACTATCTATAGTATACGCTTTGTAAAACTGCGACTATCTTATTGGCTACTTTCAGCACTTAACTTCGTACGGTTTTACGAGTTCTAAAACAATCATAAATAGTTTTACGTATACGAATATTAATTCCTGTATATTCAACGGCTGCCCAAAAAAAGTCGAGAAAAATGAAATATCGGGTGTTAAACTGTCGAATCTCGACACGGGCCGAGTATAGTGTACGAAAGCGCGTGGATTCAGACGGGTTTCGGATTTCGGAATTTTAATGATAATAATTGTTTCAGATTTGTTAGACGCCCACGCCGTTTTCGTGTTCGACTTGAGCTCACTGGAGCCCACCGAAATGGTAAAGAAAGCTGTGCTGCGGAGGGAGCGTCGTGTCGTCGGGAGCGGCCACACGCTGAACGTGACGTTTTACTCGGTGGCTAAAAGGCCGTCGTCGTTGTCCGAAACGTATTTGGGCTCGGGGACCCTGGGCGGTGCCCTAGACCTGGCTGGCACGTTGGGCGCCCGCTCGATTGCCGACATGGACAGACTGATCGTCCGCGTGGACACCGCGACCGCGGTTCCGTCCGTGGGACTTGTGTTGTACTCGACGACCGCAGTGGCCGGTAGCCAGGCTAAAGGCCACGAATTGGCCAAGTTACTGTTCGAATCGGTCGGCGGCCGGGCTAGGCGGTCGGTGCACGACAACGAAATCGACGTCAAGCGGAAGGATTTCGGGGGCAAACCAAAACGCAACAAGAAGAAGAAAAAAACGTCGAGAAAAAACAATAGATTACGGGTAATAAATTATTATTACCAACGGAATTTTACATAATATTTCGTTGTATATTTTTAAACCCCCTCCCCGGTTCATTTTTGAACTCCCGCTTCCGCCAAAATATCCCAGGAGAACGTTATACGTTCGACTACAGATTTCGATATTTTTATAATTCAATAAGAACAACTAGGATGAATCTCGTGTTAAATTTTCGAGCATTTTTGAGAAACCTCAAAAAACTATTTGATCCGCATAAACCCAAATGGAAAATTAAAATTCGACAATTTCAAATAAATATAGAATATTATAAAAACCCGTCATAATGTTTTTAAAATTGAACCAGTTTAAAAAAAAAAAATGCTTATATTAATATTCAATGAAAATTTCAGGTAGGTATAAGATTATTTTTCACCGAATGAGTACAAATAAACAACGTTTTAGATCATTATTGTACACATTTTCCACGTTTTCAAAAAATTACCGGCGATTTTACATGAAACGATTTTTCTGTAGATTCTCAATAGTTTTTACAAAAACTTCAAAAAACTGACTAGGTATACAAATGACGGACACGCGTCCATGTATTTTTGTCGATTTCTGCGTTACTATGGCTACAAAGTGGAAAAACCACGACTAACCTTACTATTTACCGATCTCCACTCAGGATCGTTTTTCATTGAAATCGTTTATAGTTGCTTTCTGCGTACAAATTATAAGTTATTCAATATCTGTTATCTTTCCAACTCCCCCTTCCCCGGCTATAATAGTGGTCTACGCACCGTGCCAAGCTTACGTCCAGCGGCTGGACTCCAGCCTGTTTTTTGTTTTCCCCTTAAAAATGCCAATAATTTGAAATAATAATAAAAAAAAAAAGTAAAATCGATTTAAAATTCTACACGATTATATTGGTTCGTATGTGTATGTAATCAACCGATTGACGCGATTAAACATTGTAGGTATAAGATGAGTAAATATATCGGACAAATCCGTTTTAATATTTTTTTTTTTTTTATATAAAACCAATTAAAAAATATTAATGAAAAAATCTAATCGGACGTATAAAAGCGAAATGTTGTTGATAAAAATACACGTCAAAATTTAGATGGTATTTTTATTATTATTTTTTTTTTTTTTCATTCGTGGGCACGGCATTTTTATTTTATCGTACCAGAATGTTAATCCATACCGTATTAACGTTATATATATGTATTTTTTAAGTTAAACCAAACGGTCAATATATATTATTAATACAGGGAATGTTGACAAATTCCCAAAAATAATAACATCGTAAAAATTCGATGGCTCGATTATAAAAAATGTATCTAAGAACCAAGGCCGGTAAAGTCAATGAATAATAACATTAACTCGGCTTAGTTTATCGGGCAAATGTCTACGAGTTGACACGTTAAAAGTTAGTTTTATCTTTGGTTTTTTTTTTTTTTTTTGCAAAATCGGTATTGTCATATCTTTTGAAAATAAAGATCATCAAATGTCATGAGGGGTTTAATTCGAGAATTATATTTATATTAAATTCCAAGTAATACATTTTTCCAAAAGAACGCAATGTACTTTATTGAGTTATAAAATATAAAATCGATTTTAAAAAAAGCCGGGCAACTTCGCACGTGAATGGGGCACTGTTGTAGGTGGGAAGTTGGGAAGGTAGGATACAAAAGGGAATCTAATGTATATATATAAGTAACAATAAACCATTTCTAACAAAGAAACGATTCTTCTGAGCGGAATTTAATTGATAGTGATGCTTTATCAACAGTATACATGCCATATTATGGTAAAATTATTAAATAAGCATTGTATATTTTCTTTAGTAATTTTTGTTTAACATTTTACCAATTTTCCAATTTTTCCTGCGTTTCCCATTATTTTTCCGGTTTTCCATTTTTTGGGGAAACTCCTTGGAAAATCAAAAATGGCATCAATAAAGTATCCCCCTCCCCCAGTCCGATTCGGAAAAGTACCGCATTTGTAAATCGGCGCAAGATTTCTGGTAATAAAATAGTCTACAGGGAAAAAAAGGTAAAAACAAAAATCTCGGTAAAACCACGAGTTTCTTCGGCCCACTCGGAATTTAAAATTTAAAATATTGACATTCAATTACAGACACGTAGATACCGCTCACTACTGGTCAATTAATCCATGATTACTAGACAGGCGCGCAGTATCCGTAACTGCGTAAACCAAATAAAGTTACTAAATGTATGAGCCGTAGTTACTGCTGTGTATTGCGTGCTCTTTTAACAGCTACACAACATACGCTGCGGTTTTTTTTTTTTCTGGGATACAATATTTACTGCTCATTTGTCTAGTATTCGGTGATATTCTGGTAGGTACTGCAGACACAAAGCTCGTTTAAAGCGTCTAGATGACGTTTTGCGGTGCATTCCGACACGCCGTATTCGCGCAGTGCAGACGGGGGATCCCCGATTCGTTTTGTTCCATTTCAATGGCTCAGTCGGTATACCATCATAATAACCCGCACGTAACGTATTCGGTTTTCCGCAGGCGGTGGACAACGGCGACACGATCGTCATCACCAACGGCGACCAGTGCCGCATGGAGAAGTTGGTGCTGAACTTCGCGGACGTCGGCTGGGACGAATGGGTGATCTACCCCAAGGGTTTCGAGACCAACTACTGCGCCGGCGGGTGTCTGTTCCCGCTGGACAAGGGGTCCAGCCCGACCAACCACGCGTCCGTGCAGAGCCTCGCCAGGTCGTTCGGCCGGCTGTGGGACGTTCCCGAGCCGTCGTGCGTGCCGGACACGCTGGCCCCGCTGTCGCTGCTCTACACGGACTATCCGTCCAACCACGTGCTGCTCAAGAGTTATCCCGACATGAGGGTGCTGACGTGCGCGTGCAAGTGAAACCGGCGCGTTTCGAAAAGCGGCAAAGACTCTGTTGTTTTTTTTTTTTCGTTTTTTTTTTTTTTTTTTTTTNCCCCCCCCCCCCCTCTCTCCTCCTCCCCAGCGTTGCGCGGAGTTTCACAGTGTTACCATCAAATTTAGTATTTATCCGCGTCCATATCATATTATACATATCATACACATATACATTTATTTATTTATATACACCGATAAAAGCTGTTACGTTCCCTTTGATAACAAATATAATATATTGAACTAAAATTATTTACGTATCCGCAGCACGCGTATACGTTCGCCAGAAACCGTTTGAGCCCGGCGACAAACAGACGAGAACTGGGCGATCCATTTATCACGAACTAGCGACTTTTTTTTTCTTCTCCCCGAGGTTTGTAAGTAAATTTGAATTCCGATTTCGCAATTCTTATTGAACCGTCTACGTTTTGTTCACACTCTATTTCATCATATTTTAACCCATATGCCTACCGCTTATACCTTAAATGAGTTAAATACATTTTGGATTTTCTAATAGCATAATATAAAAACCATTAACAGCGTATCGAGCGTGTTGGCAAAATATTCTCTACAGTGTTTAAACAACGCTATGTGCGACGTTCGCTATACAGCTGTCATTTGAAAATCAAAAGTGTATACATTCGTTCGATGTACCTGTAAGGAGTGATATGAAATTGAAACCAACGTTATAATAATACTTGTACAGTTTCACGACGATGGAAAACACAGAAATCGAAATCTTCCGTAGAAATCGCCGGTTCGTGATGAACGGATTACCCTGATTATCTCTGTAATCTGTTACACATACATGGTTATAGGACATACAGTGTTATCCGAACGCTAATGACTTATGTACTTTTTTTTTTTTCAATCGGGTCTTGAGCCAGGGAGATATAAATGTAGAGAAAAATTAAATTTTTATTGTCATTCCTTAATCAGTGTAAAAAATAACTTTTTTTTTTTTTTGTAAAATATTTTTAATACAATTAATAGTTTCTTAATTAAAGCGGCTTTAATGTACATATAGAAAATAGGCGCGAAAAAAATATTATTAACATTCAATAGAAAATAAGGTACTACCTTGCTGATTGTGATTCCTTATTTCGTAACGTGTTATGTAATTTGAAATTAATTATTTTCACGCCAAAAATTTGTAAAAATTAAAACGTCTATTACTATGAAACTATTGATCGAGTATGTAAGTACGATGCATTAAAAAATATTTAGACATTGACTAATGTACAAAATTCGATTCATAAGAAAAATAATACTTATATATATTTCAAGGTCTCCTCTCGTGGTAAACATCTCATCACCGGCGATAATCCATAACGGCCACGATCCGACGCGTATAATACTATTTTTTTATATTATTATCATTATTATTTTTTAACGTGTCCACAACTATGTCGCGTTTCGTACTTACGCTTTTCCGAATATTTCGTTAAAACTTCTGAAATCACTGTTTTCGAGGGATTACGAAATACCGTACACGAAGCGCCGAAAACGGTAAATAGCAACCGTAACAGTCGAGGTGCCGAATTTTCATACCGTACGGCGGACGGCAACTCGATAAAAAAAAAAATTATAACGGTACGAACATCGAGCCCGCACAATTACTATTGTTTAAGTTTTAAATGTCCGGTAATATTTCAATGCTTCGCGACACAATCACGCCGTGGGTCGATTTTAGGGGAAACGCGAAAACCGCGGCCGCACCTAAACACTAACCGATTTCGAATTTTTCTCGTTTCGCGTTTTTCTACATAAATATTTATCAACAGCTATTCGATAATATTTACCAAAAAAAAAAATAATTTTAATGTTTTAAATCGCGTAGTTCGATTCGAAAGTTGATTTATTTTGTGTATACTAGCTACATTATCGTAAGCGCAAATGTCGCGAAAACGCGAATCGCAGTCACGTCAAACCGTGCGGAATGACACGCAATTAAAAACAAACAAAACAACTTAATTGTCCCGCTTACGAGCTGTTTTGCCGTGAATCCGACAAAAGATAACCGATTGCGTTTACATTTCGAGCAGAAATCGACGGGTGTTCAAAAAAAGAACAGAATGGTTTGGATTTCAAATATTTTCAACGGAGTTGCTAACGTCCGGTCATAACGTGCCAGACGTATTATTGAGACCGGTTCGCTCTGACATCGTACCGCGGATAAAATTCGTCTGCTTTTAATGCGAAAATTCGGTTTACCAATAATAATAATAATAATAATTATTATTATTATTATTATATTATTATTTTACGATATTCGAGGGTTTTCTGTTCGGTTGGCCGGTTCTCCGCGGAAAACCTAATACCGTTACGAGATAACCACGCGGCTTCGCGCGCTGTTATTAATAATCCATTGTTTTTTTAAACATTTTTATATTTTTGCTACATAAATCTTACGATATCATATTACGTAAACGGCGCACGACCCCTTCCTGAAATAAAAAAAAAAAAAAAAAAACCCGTAATCTCCGGTCCTATCGGATACGCAATATAATATTTTTACACAACGTTGACGACTGCGGGCTCGAGGGGGTTCGTCCGATCGTTTATATATTTCGTTAAACCGATAAATTAGAAAAGGAAAATATAATTCGATTTAAAATACTATTTTAGCGAGGTTTACGATGAAATGGAAAAAAACAAACAACAGTTTTTCGATTCCCATTGCCCGAGTAAAAGCCGACATTTCGCATTTTGAGTTTATTATTATTTCATTATTATTAGGATTCCGCCGCGGTCTGCGTGGTTTTTGTTTACTCGCTAGTGTGAAATTACTGATTAGGTATGTATGTATGATCGAAATCGTTAATATTTATATTTCATGTAGTTTTATTTTATTTTTTTTTTTTGTAAGCTATTAGGTTATCCAAGTTTCGACGTGTTTTGTCTAAAAAAAAGTTTAAAGACATCGCGGATGTCTGTGTATAAACAAGAAAAAAAAAACAAGTGTATCGTATCTCAAAGCAAAAAAAATTACCTTTTGTCGTAACAAACGTATCAACCGTCCCGATAAAATACGATTTTGATTTGTTTCCCTTTATTATTATTTATTCGTTGCGAGCGCCGTATGTGTTGCAACAAAAACATTCCGCGGCGCACGTGCGTCGAATTTCAAACACAGCGTTTGTTCGCTTTTATACGATTGTATTTATATTATTGTGTTTTTATGACATTATATTTATCGTCATGGATAGCCTATGGAAAGTGTGAAATTTTGTATTGAGTAAATTATTATTTATTATGATTTTTTTTTTTTTTTTTTTACCAGCTTGTATTGTAGTATATTTTAATGTATTTATTTGATTAAAGTTCCGAATAAATTAACGCTTATATCACATTTATAAATTAAAATGTCGGGACAGAAGAATGTTCTTACCTTTAAGTTGTTTGGTTCGTTCTAATATTAAGACTGACTTCACAGACATCTCTGGTAGACGTTGGTTAACTTAGGTTGTGGTCATTTGTTTTATTTTAAGTGTTTTCAGTAATTCAATATATATTTGTATATCTGTGGACACAACGACGTCGATGACATATCGACTTAACGTTCTCATAGTATGATACATAGGACCGGTGGCGTCGTCGTCCGTTCAGCACATTTTATGTTCTTATCAAATATAATACTATAATACGCATGCATAACAATATAACTAACTAGTTAATAATATTATGTACTGAAAAATGGTACGCTGCAGCGGCAAGACTACAACGGATTAAATTAATTCGGATTTATAATGAAGTTAAATTAGGTAACGCGAGAACTTTGCCGATTAACTCGCATTAAAAACGAGTAATTTTTTACTATTATTACCAAAAAGCAACCGCGGGAGTCAACGAAATGTCTACACAAAAGGTAGAACGTAGGTACCCATTGTAATAAATCGCGTCGCAGCTACTGGGAGGGGACTAAGGGACCCCAGTTTTTCTGTCGAGTGTCTTTTTAATTGTTTTGTGGAAATTTTGTTGATATGTTATCAGCAATGTTAAGCTATCAATAATAACAAAAATATATTTTATCTATGGTGCATATTGTATAAAATGAAAAATCACTCTATGTGAAAAATACACTTATTTAGGTGTTAGCTACATTGTCATAAATTATTTATGGACGGCCTTATAGACCTTATGGCTTATGCTAGTACTATGTTTGATGAGGATTCAGCCGATTCGCACATAAACATAAAAAAATGTATAATTCAAAACCTACTTAGAATTAGATGCTATCAAAAACATTGCGAAACAGGATACAATTCTAAACATATACAAACTGTTACAAGTAGCTCTAACCATACCGATAAGTTCTACAACATGCGAGCGATCCTTCTCTTGTATGAGACGCATTAAAAATTGGTTGAGAACACTAATGGTGCAAGATCGGTTTTCAAACTTGGCCATTATAATAAATATTGAAAGGGGTATGTCCATTACTATAAATAATAATGACACATTGGAAAAATGAAATAAATTTAAAAGCCGACGAATATAGAATATATATAATATTTTATAACAATTATTTGTATTTATTTTTTAATTATAAAATAATATTACAATTCAAATTGAAGCAAATAAATTTGTTTGGGGCTATAGCCCACCCAGTATTTTTATCTTAGTTGCGCCTATGCTGCAGAACTTTATACACTTTTTAAAACGCATAGTACCACTCGTCAAACATATAGGTCTGATGCCTAAGAAGAGAATGGTGTAACCGCGAAATCGACCCCCGTAAAATTCCCTCCATCCCGGTAAAATATAAAGGGTGTCAATAATCACTTTAACACCGGTCTAAATTTTTTTATTATTGTTATTTTTTTTTTTTTTTTTTAATTTATACTTTTCTTGCGTAAATAGAACATTCCAGAAATATAGGTACCGACATAAAGTATACGTTGAAAAAGTAATATATATACTACGAGAAAGGTAAAATAGTAAACATACAGTAACATTTCGATGTTGTTATCGGTATACGATGGTGTCGATAGGAGTTGACATATTTAATACTTAAATCCTAGTTATGCCACTGCACGAAATCATCGTCAAAGTTTACACGGAGAACTCTGAAACACTCTGTACATATTATTGCCTTTGTAAACTGATATAAATATCGCGTACTAGTTAGTAACACTATATTATTAGTCCATATTTTCACAAATAAATAACCGAGGAAAATTGATTTTATTAAAAATATCATATTATCATATTAAGTTCATTCTTGAATACAATTTTACAAAACGTTAACAAAAAATACGTCAGGATAAGTATATACTTACGTCGAAAATTTAATGGAATTGAGTGAAAGAAACTGATTGTACTAATGGACTAACCTGTAAAACGAAAACATACATCAATCTTACTATATTGTTATAATAATATTATCTCAGAGTCTAACGTAAAGATATATATTCCATTTTTATTATAATATAATACGCTACGATATTTATTTTAAATATTCTTCACGATTTGAAATCGGTATCTATGTACTCTACAGACGTGTTTCGCGTTCTAAAACATTACCTAAAACGTATTATATTATAGGTAATCATATAAATTATAATTAAGATACCAAAATAAAAATGAAGTATCTCGATACAAGATACATTTAAGTTTTGCTAATTTTTAATCTAAATACAATATTAAATAAAATTAAAATTGGCCATTGGGAAGTATGTCTATAATAATATCAGTTTAAAACGTCATACTCGTCCGTGAAAACGGCCGAACTTCTCGCCTTACATAGAAATTGGGTAGAAGATTAGCGGACAAATCTTCACTATTACAGTGGCCACAATAAAATGTGAAAAATAGTTTTCAAATTTTATAACAATAGGAGAAAACCGTTTCCAACCCCCTTGACATATTATATCGACAGATTCAGTGGCCGGTATAAAAGTCCACGTGAACATCCATATTTTCATCCAAATAGATTAAAAAAGTTACATTGGTTTCATTTATTTATTTTCTTTATCGGTCGCGTAGAAAAGCGTTCAAATCGTTTTGGAATTACTTATAGCGCAATTGATCCGTTTTGTAATTTACGAGAGGTCGATTTTCGATTTTCCCAGCGGTGTATACCTGCAGATTATTTGAGAAAAAAAAAAATATCCGAAAAATGTCAGATAAACGGTAGAATTTACGACTTATCAGCCGTTTCTAATCAAATCGATTTTTTCAGAGGTTATTTTTTTTTTTTTGTTTTCAACAAAATAATCATTAGGATTAAATGTCCAATAATATTATTATTTATCCAAAGTAACGATTGAATCTATACATGCTCTAGTTTAGGTTTAGGTTTTCGAAAAAGGTAGGTAGGTTACTTTTTATAATTATAGTTTTGTAATTTTATTTTATACGACCGTCTTTCAAAAATAGGAACAAGCAGTATTATTCCGTAATTGCGGAAACTTTATATAAAGTTGTATCGATAAAATATAATGTACTTTTCTTATTTCCGAGCTTATATTACCGCTGGGAAATACTTACGTACTACTCGTATATTGTATACCTACTAAAACTTAGGAGTGCGATATAATAAATACTTTATGAGTACATACTATAGTTCAAAACTAATCCCCAAACTAACTAATTCACAGAAAAACCAACTCAAATAATACATGCCTACACGAACAGTATTATACATTACACTGCAATTATATTTCATACGTGCAATTATCATAGTGCGAAATGAAGGAAAATCTATCGGTTTTACAATAATGCTTGTGCATGGAGATATTTTCGTTTGATTGTGTGTGTCTGGATTCTCGGAGTCCGCAGAATATTTTTTAAGCTCGCCGATTTCCTTTAGTAATTTGGCCTATTATACATAGGTACCGTAGAAAATTCGGTTTTTTTTTTTTAACTTGTTGATAATACCAATACGTCATATTATATTGCTCATATGTATATATTGTTGACCGATGGTATGAATACCTTTCTGAAAATGGCATTGTTTATTACTTTAGTACTATTAGTACTATTTTTTTTTTTCAATTAACCGACAGCAGTGGGGAATCAGTTTTTCACATTGCTGCTCCACTACTGCCGTCGTTTATTAATTGGGGTATAATCAAGCGTTTTTTAAAATCCTGTTTTCCCTTCGCGGGGCAGGCTATCATAGTTAACTACACTAATTAAACTACGATGAGAAATGAGCGACGGGACCGCGTCATTTCTTAACAGAGTGCTAACTTAACCTAGCCTGTACATGGCCTTGTGTCGGTGCCGAATCTTCCTGAGTGTTGTCCTTGATGTACAGGATTGATGAGTGAATTACTAGGTACTTATACCTACCCTCTTAAATTAATACATTGAGAAAATAAAAAATAAAAAATGACTGATATTGTAAATAAAATTTAAAATAAGTACCTACCTGACAAAACAATGCGTATGGTTAATTTTATTAAATCTTGAGATTTTTGTCGGTTTTCGTTTATATATTTTTTTTTCCACGCACTCTAGAAAAATATTAGATAAAATGAAGTATTTAAAACATGATCAAACTACAAAATTCGAAATGATTCGTTCATTTTTAAACTGTGCCCCTGCAGGTTCTTGAAATTAATTTTGTCAATTTTGACATACAAATCTAAACATTGTGCTATGACTTTATTTTTCGATCAAAAACCATTAAATATCAAATATCGAATTGAAAATTTTACGAAGCTTTCAAAAATGTCACTTGTAACATCATCTGAACATCATTTATTACTGACATAATTACAATTTGTACCCAAAAAAATAACTAAAACTCAAATAATCTGGTTAAATGATATTTATATTGTATAGTTTTTCCTTTTAGGTATTGTTATAAACAATTTAATTTAAAATCATTTTGTACAATATCATGTCGTTTTTATGTATTCCGAACTGTTCAACTGGTATAAACAATTAAACAAAAAAATATTATTTACCCAGATTTGTTGAGGTTTTATGTGTTATTATATAAAATTGTAAGTATATCGGTAATAAACTAATAAGGTGTAATAATATCACAAGTGAAATTTTTGAAATTTTCGTAAAATTTATTACCAAGTATTTGATATTCAATTTTTTTTGTCAAAAAAAAACATTAATGCACAATGTTTAGATTTATCTGTAAAAAATGGCAAAACTACTCAACTTCAAGTGATCGGGATTAAATTGAACGATTGATTGCAAATTTTGCAGTTATTATTTGATTGGGTATTAACAAAAAAATGGAGATGGCTTCACGTAC